ATGACATGCTCTTGAGAATATGTGGTTTGTTGGATGCTGAAACCTTATCAGGAATCATAGTCCATATTTTGTGATCTGCTTCACAAAGTCCTATTTTTTTTAAAGATTTATTTATTTATATAGAGCCAGGGTACAGGCCAGAGATGCGAAGGGTGAAAGGATTCACCCGAGACAGAGTGGGGAGCAGAACAGGTAGATCCACGAAGTACACTGCTGAGGGGAGCAGTGGGCGGGTCAGGAGAGGTCTGCCGCACCATGTGGTCACCTCCGGGGCAGGCGGGGATCGAACTCATGCGGAAGTGGTTTCAGCTTCTTAGTGCAGTGCTTTAACCCGCTGCGCCACCAGGGAGGGCCACAAAGTCCTATTTTTATATGATTTCCAGGGGTGGGAGTGTGGGTAGTGAGTGAGTGTATGTCCAGTCTGTCTTGGGTGCATTTTTGATGCTAGGGGGTTCCCTTCATTGTAAGATTCATGGTTCATCTCCTCAGTAATACATTTCCTAATATTCCCCTACCTTCTCTGCCCCCTCAATCCCTATAGAACCCCTTCTTTGTGCTCTCATAGTGTAAGGATGGTCCTGGGCATCTTCATTGCTGTGGGTCAGTACTCAGCGTATGTTGACATCTTCTTAATGTTTGTCTCCTCCACTAGACTAAATTCCTTGAGGGCTGGGACCATATCCTTGGCACCTAAATTGAGAAGCCAGTTTTAAAAAGTAAGGATGGATGGATAAATGATGAGAGAGGAGGAAAGAAGAGGGAGGAGAGGTGAAGAAAAGCAGGAAAATGGATGGGTTTGGCTTCACTTTACCATAAACCTAGTTGTCATTATCAAATAGAATTGTGGTTCGAGAAAAATGTCAATAATATTTATAATGGTATATGAAGACTGTAAAACTCAGACATATGCTTAGATTAAACCTACAATATATTTGATAAAAGCCTAAAACACGCTTGCTTTACTCGGGCTTAGATGTAAGCTAGCAGCAAAAGAAAATAAAGGCACTTTATGATATGGAAGTCAGTTATCACCACAAGCTTTAAAAATAAGTGGGGAATGGGATAAAATACAATGTGGGGAGGGCAATGCATTGAACTATGGTGATGGCACAAGGGTGATTTGGTGTTGGGCAGCCCACAGGGATTACAACTGAGATGGGAAAATGCACAAAATGATGCAAAAAAAAAAAAAAAGGTCATGGTTTATATCTTGAAGACTTGAGGGTGATCTAAAATGACCTCATGGAAAATTAATTATTAAACACCATATAACTGCTTTAGTTTCTTCCCTCATCATATTCACAAAAATTTATCTGCATAAAACTATTTCTGTGATGGTAGAAGGGAAAGACCTTGGCTTTAGGGGCATTGGTGGTTCAGCATATGATTGATATGGAAATGGATTGCATTTACCCATTAAGGAAGTTGGAGCCCTCAGCCCTGCTCACATGCGGTGACAAGTGAGGTCAAAGGGCGAGATCTGTAGCACTTGCAGGTGGCACAGCTAAAATGCCAGCAGGGACCTCTGATGTCTGGCATCATGGTGCTGAGCTTACATGTAAACCTAACATGGTCAAGAACAGCCACTATAAGATGTGTTAGGACAGTTATATTTGTTATTTCTGATAACAGCTGAGCAGTAAGTTTCCAGCCGGCTGTATATGTGCTGTAAGATAAGCTTTCTAGAAACTGTACGGTTCGTAGCTTATGTTGATTGTGAATAAATCGATTAAAATAGACCAAGATGATCAGCATACCAAATAACATGACCTGCTTCAAAGGCTACACAAGCAAATTAGAATTAATGGAAAATTTTCTCAGGGAATAAAATTCCTTGAAAATCACAAAGACTGTTCTTCAACAAATAAGTCAGCTCCCATGGAATGTTTGGCACAGAAGGCCTCAGCCTGATCAATTAATCTTTCAGCAGTTCTGGCAGAGAGGTTAGTTTTCATGGAGTCCTGCTCTTTTCAGATGTCAGTAAAAGGCATGTCTTGCCAAAGCCTTTGTTGAACAAGATGGAGTTTATGTAGGAGCTGTCTCTCTACCCACGGACCTTTGGCTCTAATCCAGCCCCCCTACATGGCTTTGTGACCTCTGTCGGGAAAGGAAGGGTTAAGTGGCTCTGCTGGACCCAGCTTCTGCACACGTAAAGTTCAAAGGAGGCGCCGCTGACCTGTGTGGGGCTGTTGTACATGTTCATCCACTCGCTCAGGGCTCATTGTGCCAGATGCATCTCTCACTGGGGGTACAATAAGGAGCAAGACCAGACAGAGGGCCTTGCTCCCTGGTTCTTAGGCCCATCCCAGTTGGAAAGAGGTAGCCCTTCATCAAAGAGTCATGCTACCAAGTGTTTCTCAAATCCTTTGTCAGTGCCATGAAGGGTTGGTGAAGCCCCTGTGGCTGGAGGCGCTCGTAATAGGGAGATTTATTTCACCCAGGAGGGAGGGAAGAGAGCAGCTGGGGTGTGCTGGGCAAGAGGGTGGAGATTATAGACAAGGATGGAGAGGGGTGGGTTTTGAAGACGTAGGGAACATTGAGTTCTAAACCGCCCACAAGTCCTTGGCCAAGCCACCTTCTCTCTCTAAATCTTGATTTCCTCATATCTAAAACTGGTACCAACATCAGGAACCTTTCATGGTATTGTTAGGTTTCAGTGAACATATTTGAAAGCACCCAGAAGCATGCTGGCAAATTGTGTTTCTAAGAATAGCTTTGGAAACAGACACATACTGTTTTATACATAATTTTTTAGCTGTGAAATAGACTGAAAACAGCCTTAAGACCTCTTTTGTAAAAAAAAGTCTGAGTTCACATTCTGCCCTGCAAGGTGACTGGCTCCCCTTAATCACAGAGACTTGCTTGAATCACTTGACTTTGAGCTTTTCTGTCTTTGCTCTCTGTTTAATAATTCTATTTGGAAGTGAACTGTAGATGCTCTCTGAGGCCACTGGGCTACTCGTGTGTGCTTATGAATTTCCTTCTCCAGATAAAGTGAGGTTAGCTCTCTTTCATAGCTTCCTAGGCCAGAGGATTACTCCTTTAATCTTCTAAAAGCAAACAGGAGGATAGAAATAACCTATCAGTTGTTTAAAATTAAAATGGCCAACAATAATAAATAATTGCCACAATAGCTTGAGGTCAAGGTCTTCATTTATTGGAGGCCATTCAAGAATTTGAAACTTTTCTCCAAGTTAATTTTTCACATCTTGTTTGGATCTTTAGACCCCTTGCTTCCAAAAGCAAGGCCATCAGATCTCCCGCTACCCATGTTATTTTTGTGGAGGTGCCAGGCATGCAGGAAAAGTGATGTCCTCTCTTCATAAAGGGATGATGATAACTCCTCCTCCCCAAATTCATACTTCAAAGTATTATGGCCTGTTGAGACTTTGGATAGTTCTCTTTTCTTTCATGATGTATTAACTGTATTAATGGCCACAAACAACAATGAACATGTGCTGGTTAATTTAAGCAGAAGAGGAACGTTTGGGGTGGATATGGGCTAATTGACAGAAATCGGCTGGGAACAGGAGGCAAGCCTTAGCGAAGGAAGCCGCCTCTATGCCCTCAACTCTGTAGACACTCAGGCGATCCTGGAAGGCGTTGGTATCTGTGAGCAACACTCAGTGTTCACAGACCTGATTGGCAATGTCTGTTCTCCATACCCAGGCCACACTACCACCCTGACTCAGGTCTGCCCTCTTCCTGCTGATAAGCTTTCCCCTCCTATCTGGAGATCCTCCACCTCCCAAAGAGGAAGGTGTCGGGATGCTAAGCAGCCGAAAGTGACAACTCTTCCTTACATGAGCCTTTTTTTGTTTGGTCACATCTTCAGTGAACCGGTTGGACACAACCTAAATTTGTTTTCCAAAGCTCACATCATACAGTAATCATGTCTCGTGTGCCTCTTTATCATTGTTCCCATTCTCATCTCCATCATTCCTGTCTTCATCCTCATCTCCATGTGCCATTTCCCTGTATCTCCTCCCCCCCTTAACCATCTCCTCCTGCTTCTCTTCCAGTTGCTGAATCTAAAATACTTTAAGAACACCCTTGACTGTTCTTTCCCTAACACCGCTTGTCCAATCCATGAGCAAAATCTATCAGCCTAGCTTGTGAAGTATATCCAGAATACCTTCTCACAGCTTCTACCACCATGGTCTGAGTCATGTTCTCTTGGACTCTGACAATGGCTTCCTAACCAGGCTCCCTGCTTCCCCAGCCTCTTACCCACCAGCGTGAGCCGTTAAACAGCAGTTCTCCACCAGCGAGAGCCAGTGTGAGCCTTTAAACATGGAAGTCAGGTCACACCTCTCCTCTGCTAAGAGCCCTGAAGACGCTCCCACCTTAGTGTCAACTGAGGACCTTACAAGGAGACTGCCTGCTGCGGACTCTTTGCCATTCAGAGCTATACTGGCCTCTTCCTTGACCACTTCAGCCCCACTGCTAGTACCCTGATATGTCTTACCTGCTTCTGTCAGGCTTCTGCTGAGAGGTTTTCTCATCAGTGAGGCTTTCCTGACATCCTATTTAGAATCACAACCCACTTGCTCTCCATATCAGACCCTCTGTCTGTCTGTCTTGTTGCTGTGCATTTTCTCCATAGCTTTTCGTGCCGTCTAACCTGTGTGTTTATTCTTTTTCTATTTTTTTTTCTCTCCCTGGAGCTCCAAGAAGGCAAGACCTCTGTTTTGTTGACATAGAATAGGTGCTCAAAAATATTTCAGTGAATTAATATACAACATAATTCTACATTTTGGAATTGTCTTATGTAATTTTACAGATGGCCTAGTTGTTTAAGCAACAGAACCTCCTGTGCTTCCATGGAAAACTGAGCCTACAAAAGCTGGCTGCCTGAGGACATAGGGCTGCTTAGTGGCATTCCTAGGACTCATCATTCTGTTCCCAGTGGGGTTTCTGTCCCCCTCTCCCAGATACTCCCAGAGGCCACAAATTAGTGAGAACTTCAGGGTATTGACTGCTTTTCCTTCTCCTTGCAGCACTGATGAGAAAACTCCTTATCTAGCTTTGGGGGCTGTGAAGAATATCTCCCTAAACATCTCCATCTCCAACCTTGGGGACGATGCCTATGATGCCAACGTATCATTCAATGTTTCCCGGGAGCTTTTCTTCATCAACATGTGGCAGAAGGTAAGAATTGCACCTCCTAAAGAGAGCCTTTGTTCCATGTGGTGCATTTTCTGACTTTCCTTTTAGCTGGGGGTCAACAGTGATTCTGTAAGGTCTGTCTCTTTATGTCGAGTGTTATTTGTAGCTATTTGGATTTTTTCCTTTTGGACTTAGAATATGTTGGTGAAGCAAAATTAAAAACTGAAAATGCCTACCAAGTGACAGAGTGTCTTTCTCACAGCTGCCCACCCCACTCTTGTGGAACCCCTTCTCTACAGTCATGGGTCTGGCCTCTTGTCTGGATGATAGTCCCTGTCTCCAACAACACACATTCTAAAGAATTCCAATTATCAGTCAATTGTGAAAAACAAGATAAGAAGTGAGGACAGATCACTGTTTATCATACTTGTTGCCAGCAATGCACTTGATGTTTTCCATTAGAGGGTTAGCTCTGTCAGCCTATACTGTTGCATATTTATTTATTCCTGAAATATTTTATTGAATTGAGGAAATTAAATTATTGCCATGAATTGAGGGGGTTTTGGTAGTGTGAATTAAATGATTTGAGTGAATTGAAGGTTAAATAGCGCCACTCAGAAAGAAAAGGAGCTGGCATTGACTCCTGTCTGGTATTGCTTCCATGAACCCCTTTTAGGAAGAAGGAATAACAGCCTTTTGGGGGGCAGCAGGAGAAATGAGTAGACTCAGATAGACTTCATCTACCTGAGGCTATTCAGTTGACAGTTTTTCTGGTGGAAACTTCTGTAGTGTCTCAAACTGTGTGTGGCACTGAACATATTGCCTTGATGTCTGTGTTAAAATAGAATCAGAATCTCTGATGGGATGATTAGGAGTAACTGCTTTTCCTGAGCACTTTGACATGGTTTTGCTCATGGACATCACATGTCATCCTCTTAAGTGATTGAGCATGGTTGTCTCCTGGATAGCTGGCTCTGCTCTGTCAGTGTGTAGGACACACTCAGTAATGTCATTTCCTGAGCGAAGTAGCCTCTGTCCTGCTCTGCTTCCCTTCACCATGGCTATCATTTGAGCTTGGAGACTGCATGATACTCCATCATCAGATATGCTATGGATTGCTTACAAATCCTTACGATTAGATATTTAGATGATTTCTTGTTTAGTTGTCTTTTTAATAATATAACAATGAAAGTCTTATAGAGATTAGTCTGAGCAAGTGATTATCACCAAATAGTTCCACAGTTTTCTGGGGTAAGGGAAGCTGCATTTATAGGCCACCAGGGGCCTTACATACATTTTTCTCATTCCCTCCTTAGTACATGAAATCCGGTGATCTGATTTATTGGAGGAATACTCTCAGGAGAAGACAAGTAAGGGAAGCAGGATGGATCAGGGAAAGGGCTGCGTAAGGTTGTGCTGTCATAAATTTTAGCCTTGATCTGATTTATAAGGTGGAAATAGGTGGGGGAAGTGTCCCAGAGCATAAATCTACTCAGCTGAATTGTCCCCGTGAAGTGTCAGGGGTGTATCACTTCCACCCCTGTGTTCTCACTGGCCACTGTGTCCTGTCACAGCCTCTATTCTGGACGGGGGAGCTCTAGAAAGCCGAGACAGTGCTTCTCAGGAGGACACAGGTATATCCTTAGGCACTGTACCTAATCGTGAGAAAATGGGAACATGTTATTTAAGTCCCTTGCCATTGAATCCTTGAAAATCTTTGCTGCAGGAAACCCTTCAGCTTGGTAGAAAACTGACTAGTATAAGGAGCTCTTGGCAATGTGGTGAATGTTAGTTCACAAAAGTGTCAGGACACAGTGATGTCACACAGCTGTGTGGGTGCAGGGCCAGCTAGAAAAGCAGGTGGTCCAGGTGATGCTCAGTGTAGCAGGAAGGGAACAAAATATCCCCTTCTATGGCTACAACCATGTGCAGGGTTGAGCAATGGAGGACCAAGATGCCACTGACCAGCCAGAACACGACTAACTGCACCCAACTAGGTAGTGAGGGGCCAACAAGGGAGCCCCCCACCTGTAGACCTAGAAGAACCAACATGGACCCTGCAAGAAGTTTCTAGCACAGAATCTAAGAAAAGTGTAACTCCATATACAGAGGGAAAGCAGGGCTTTTGAAGACACAATTCATAGGAAAAAAATGTAAATTTTACAGAGCATTGATGTTTGCTCTTGATGAAATTGAAGGAAAGGAAAGAGGCATAGTAAAACACCAGATTGTCAAACAGTGGCCTTGGGTAAAAATGGAGTGGACTGAGAAACAAGCAAGAAAAAAGTTTGTGGCGGCCATAACAATTCCTAACACCGAAACCAAGAAAGCAAGGACAATTAAAAATGTCCTAAATCAGGACATTGCAGCATTAGCAGGGTGGAGAGCAGATTCATAGTGTGGAGGGCAACCATCAGTGAAGGTGACAGGTGTGGAGGTGGTGTGGTGGAAGGTGGGAGAGTCAGCCAAGGGGAGCAAGCGCCAGTAACAGGGAGAGAAGGCAGAAGTAGATGGCAGCAAAGCACCGTGGGCTTGAACACGTACTGCAGGTATCAGGCAAAAGATTAAGAAGAGTCCATGTCTACACGCAGATTCATGAAATTGTCAACTTTAATAAAGTAATTCTTTAACAAAGTATATTATCTTTAATGGAAAACTAAACAGCTTTCTACAGCTTCTGTAACACTAATATGAAAACCTGGAACGATTTTTGTGAATTATGAATGCTAGAGCCTGTTGCTTGTTCTTCCATGGTGAAGGCAAATAAAGATATCCTCAGATGTATGAAATCCTAGTAACTCTCTTGACTCAGATTCCTCCCAGAGGCGACTCTGACATGATGACATAGTTCAGGTCATTTGCTGGGGGAAAGGGCCTGGGAGGCACTGTGTAGGTGTGGTGTGTTCAGACCTGAAGGGATGACAGACAGGAGGTGAGGACGCATGCGCAGATGTGGGGCCACAGACAGCTCCGCCCTGTCCTGCCAGGAGACTCAGAGACAGTCTGTTGACACCTCTGAGTCATCCCCTGAGGGTTGAGGAAGCTGCTGGAGATATATCCGTGAGCTCCTGTCACTCACCCAAGAAGAAACTCTGCAGTGAGGCCAGGAGCTCTCCAGTACTTTCTGGCTATTGGCCATGTTCCCTGAGGGCAGGAAGCAGCTTTGGTAGAGAGATGTGGGAAGCCTTTGGCTGCTGGTGATGACCTTCTGGTCGTTCTAGGGAATGTGAACTGTCACTGGGGAGCTATTCCTGAGAAATAACTATTTACAGATAAAGCACTCAAGAAGATAGACATTCTTGAATAAAAGTGTGTTAATTCTATAGAAGCCAGCAAAAATTATTTTGACAAATTTTTAAAATAATAAACTTATGTAAAAGAAAAAAACATTACCACAATAAGTATATAATTTAAACGATAAGCCCATGATCTTAGTTATGTCATAAAAATTTGAGAAGGAACTTGATCTTGTCACCCTCCTGCTTCACATTCTTAGGACGGAGTTCAGAATCCTCAGCTGTTCACAAGAGGCCCTTCTGAACCAGGTCCTTCCTGCCTCCCTTTTTCCCAAGCCTCATTGTTTTCCATCCCCCACCATACACGCTCCAATCCAGTCAATTTATCCAATTTATCACTGAAGCTGCTTTGACCCAGGACATACCCCACTCCCTCATTTTTGTTGAATTGCCCTTCCAGCAAACCTCAGCTCAGGTGTTAACTGTGCAGATACCTCATTTGGCTACACAGGTGGTGTAGACCAGTGGGTTGATGGATGAAGGATAATTATCCAATTTTGTCCAAAGTCACAATGCAACTTAGAACCCAGCCTCCAAGATCTCTAGTCTCCTTTGTCCTCATACAATGGCAATATATTAGCTTCTGGATCAGACAAAAAATATTCCTGAGCTAGATTTCTCTGTCTTCCCTTTCGTAGATTTATGTTGGTTCTTTTCTTTAAGGGAAAGCTGCTTATAAAAATGTGGCACACACGTGTATGACCATCTGCTGACTTTTCTCTCGCCTAAATGAAGCTAACGTGAAAACACTCAATAAAATGGGAACTTAATTTGTTGGTGGCTGCCCAAATGGCTGGCGTGTGCTGTCCGGCTGGAGCTCAGGATATAATGGTCATATAATGGCCTCCTGTGGAGCAGTGAGAGGAACCTCTCGGGTGGGGGTTGTGCACAGTTAAAAGGAGAGTAGCGACAAATGGAGAAAATGCAGCTTGGAGCACCATGGCATCACAAACTCAGGAGCCATAGTCACATGGGGTTCTATTGAAAAGCCCCCAAAGCACAACACACAGAATATAATGTGACTGCACAGCCATGTGGTCAGGAGTCCAAATAAATCTTTAGTTTCTTGCTGTGATGCCACTTGGCAAAAAAAGGGCTTTGGCCCTTCTTGCCTCTGGAGACCAGGAATGGGTTTGCTTGGATAGCACTTATGAAGCCACAAAGATGAATGAGAACTGGTACCCCTTCTCAAGGAGCTCATAGCCTAGTGGGGGTGAAAAGCTTGTCAGCGAGCAATTAAAGCACAGATTGCCTCCTGCTCTACAGAGATATGGAAAGGTTGCTCTAAAGCAGATATGAAGGCAAAGCTTTGTACTGTTGTAACAGCTGGTCTCAGGTTGCACAAAATGGCCTCTGAAGAGTTGGTACCAAAACATAGACCTAAGGTGGGTGGGTGAAGAATATCAGTTTATTTGGGTAGTGAGAGAGAGCTGGACATGAGGTAAGAAAGGAGAACAAAGGAGGAGGGACAAAGGAAGTGAAACTGCCCCAGGGGACAAAGTGCAATAATGTTCCTCTGGCAGGTGACCTTGGGGCATTTTAGGAATGCTGTGCTTGCGTTCTGTGTTGAAGAAGGCTCAGGTAAGGCTCCTTCCCTCATGAACATCTCATTTGACCAAGAGGGATGCTCAGAGGAGCAGGGTTCACATGTACATCATGGTGTTGACTGGCATAGAAACAGGAATGGACACACAGAGAGTAAGAGTTAATCCAGAGAACTCCCCAGTGACCTTCTGGTACAAAGGA